CACGCGCCTGCCAGCGCCCAAATCGGCGCCAGCTAAGCCTTCTCTGGACCAGGAGAACTTGGGCCCTGGGTGGAACCACGTGGTCCGCGGTGGCTGCGGCCATGAGGAACTCCGCCACCCGGGAAAGAAGCGGTGTCCGACGCTGGGGCCTGACGACCCCAAGGTCCAGTGAAAGTAACTCGCTCTTTTTCAAAGCGCGCGTCGCAAGTGTGTGAACTCGGAGCTCGCCTCAGAGTTCACACACTTGCGACGAAGAGGGAACTTGTCGTCATTGAAATGTGTGTGGACGAGGCCCTCTCAGGCGTGGCATTGCAGCTTCCTGAAATTCCGAACATTCTCTATGGACGTTCTGCCTTTGGCTACAGAGAACTTCTTCGGGTGCACCTTGAGTTTGTCTTCCACAGCACACGCGGCGTGAACTGAATGCACGTGTGTACCACACCGTATCAACTAGTGTCGCTGTTGGAGACATTCGGCGGCAAAGGAACTTCACTTCCGGTTTGTAGTGTTCGAAACGTCGTCGCTCTAGAGTAATGCACTCGTTCTTTTCTTTCTTATGACGATTTCTGCACGCCCATCCGTCGCAAGCCGCTGTCATCGTATTTATTTGGAGGGACTGAGGAAAACCATGAAAACCCTCTGCGAGGACGGCGCTGTCTTAAATGTGCCTCCAGTGGGTTCCGACAGCATGAAGCTGATCGTGCCGAAGACAGATGCGTGGAGCTGTACCTCCACTCCCCCCATACATGTTCATGGCGTTTTCCATAACTAGGCATAATAACTGGGAGGGTGTGGATTGGACTCAGCTGGCTTGGAACATGGTCCGGAGGCGGCTTGTCGTGAATGCTGTATTGAGTCCTCGGTGTTCTATTAGAGGCGCAGAGTTTCTTGAGAAGCTGATGGTTGACCCCGCGAGAGAGATTCGCTGTTTCTGCAAAAAGGCGCGTTCCCTCCTTGGAAGGGAGAAACAGTCGACAGCTCTTTGCCGGCTTGCGCTAGGGCGTTGCCCCCCTGTCGCCGACATTCCTCCCTTTTCCACGAAAACGTTCAACACCGCAACTGGTTCGTGTTAAGGCCGCCATTCACGATCGCTCCAGATGGATGACATCCGAATGGATGACGTCCAAACGGATGTCGTCCAAAGAGGTACTACATTCACGGTCGCGTCACGCCAGTCGCGGTTTGTTGTCACTCTGTGAAGTGCGTGGTGTTTGCGATGGACGAAGAATTGTTACTAGCTACGGCAGTATGCCTGTATATTAAAAGGAGGAAACCAAAACGAAAGTGGTCAAAGCAATGGCTCTTAAACAGAAGCAATTTAAGTCACGTCAATTTAATTAGTGAACTGAGTTTGGAGCCGTCAGACTGGAGAAACTATTTACGAATGGATGAGTGTGCTTATTTCCGCTTATTGGGGCTAGTCACGCCTGTGATACAAAAACAGGACACGAATATGAGACAATGCATCAGTCCTCATGAAAGATTGTCAGCGACTTTGAGATTTTTGGCTTCAGGCATGAACTATGAAGAACTGAAGTATGTGACAGCTACTTCTCCACAACGTTTAGGAGTAATTATCCCCGAGACTTGCAGGGCAATACTGCAGTGTTTGAAAGGATACCTTAAGGTAAGGTCAGGATTATTACTATATTTGTTAAAATTTAATTAGTTTCTAAATGTAATTATTTTTTTACATTTAATTAGTTTCAATTAGTTCGTGAATCACATGACTGATGATGCCACTTAAGAGGCGAAACATGTCTCATAATATATTTTAACTTATTTGTAAAATACATGGCAACTCTCTATATTTATCAATAACATCAATAACGAAATCACGCCCCGACATTATGCAACTTTCGACTTGATTGGACGAAGGCTCGTGGCATGAGAATGGACCACGTTTCCGCCACTCACGATACGATGGCGCGATGGAGTGATGGAGCGATCGGATGGATTATGGCTCGACAGAATATCCAGACGAGCCCACCGCGCCACGCCAATGGACTTGAGTTTCCGCATTCACAGTACAATTTTGGAGCGACACCGCGCCATTTGGACGAATGGAGCGATTGTGAATGGCCGGCTTTACGTTGGCAATGGTATGCTGCCACACTGGCTGTTTGCGAGAGCACTCTGGTGGCAAGAACAATTTTAATCACCTGTTGCTTGTCGCAGCTGTTCAGTTTAGCTACTTCACTGCTGCTATTATAGTGGTTTGAAGATTTCTAACCAAACCGTAAATGGTTAAGGCATTTTGCTGCTTTCCATAATTCTCTGTTTGAATTTGAAGACAATATAAAAGACGGCTTCATCCAAACTCGTGGGTGTGTTAGATAGTGGTGATCGAGCAGTATTCGAACTTCATGTTAGTTTACTAGCTCTTACCCTGAGTAAATTCCTCAACATGCAAACGCGCCTGATTCTTTCCATAAAATGGTGCTAGGAAAGAGCATACACTCCCATTATATTGTTTTTTATTTGAGTTTTCATGTGCTTCATGTATTTGCCAGTAAAGTGGAACAATTTAATCAAAGCAAGGAAATTTGCTTTGAGTTCGTTACTGCCACTAAAGTTTGTATATAATCTGTTAATAAAGACTGATACCACCAATAAGTTATGTGGATGCACATCTAGTTTTGCGATTAAACATGTAACTAACTATACACAAAATAAAGAATAGCTCATTACACGAAGAATTGGTAATAAAAAGGAGTGTGATGGTTAGTAAGTTTTTCACTAATCCCCATGATAATTGAGGCTGCAAGTACCTCTGAAATGTTGGTAAAATAAGACTGCCAGAAATTACAAAGGATTTTCTATCTACTCAGCTGTAAAGCTTGATATTATTATTAAGTGATAAGTAACATAATTGCTGAAAAGAAACTTTCTTTCAGAGACTGTTTACATCATTGTAGAAGACCTCTATTTCATGTAGTTGCCATTGGAAGGTTTGCCTTTTTTATGATGTTCGTACTTGCAATGACAAGCATTCTGAATAAGAGTTTCAGAACTGACTATGGCTGTACATTAAAAAAGTCTGTGTACTGTTTCACAAAGTTTTAGAATTTTAAACTTTACACTGTGGTGTGTAGTTTCTAAACTAGTTAACTGGTGTAAATTAATTGGAATTGTAGTAATCTGCGTTATGACAGTTTGTAGTCCTGTTTGTGGTTACCAAGGT